ATTTATTTTGTTCTGTGTAAAAGTTAGTCTAATTGGGGAGTTTTCAAACCTGATAAAATTTATTACTTGTACTTTTTTTTATTTATTCATAGATATAGTGAACAGATATAGGTAAATATTAAATATTTCCATTTTACTGTCATCAAACAATCTACCGACAGCAATATTTGATCTTTTTTTTCGATTGATCAATTCTTAGTTAATTGCTTGAAAAAGTCCCCGTTTCAGATGAATATATTTTATAAACTTTAGTTAAGTGTTAAATATTTATATTGTCTCCTTGTCAAGTTAAGTGTAAGTTGCTTCCTTATCATGAAGGCCAATTGACATCGTGATAAAGTGTTCTAATGATATAGCGGTTGCTTAAGTATCTAAATATGTTTGTAAATCATTATATTATTAACTTCAACTTAAGATTATATACATGTATTTCCATTTACATACATGTTTAGTCATGTCGGAGACTTCCTTGTGAAATACATTTATTCAGTCATATCACAAGGGCATCTGTAGATGAAGTGGAGAAAACAATAATGTAATGTTTGAAAGTGCGACAGGTTAAGTATCGTCATTGAAGCGTTTTTACTAAAATTGCGTGTATAGGATCATGTTATTGTTGAAAAAATTTCTGACAATGATAGAGTCGTCTACCTACTAGTATCTATAGCATGGAAGTACATTCATGAGCGTTTATGTATCTATTTATTAATCTTTTTATATCAAATTTATTCATTTCAAACCAACATAATGGAATTAAACGTTTGATCTACTACTCTATGTATTGCATGGTATTTATATGCATCAACTGTTTATTCATAGTTTACTGCCTATAAACTTAAAAGATGGCGTCTGTATGTCTTAAATCTTTCTGTTAAATAGTAATTAGATAATCATTGTAACGTATTTACTAAAATTGCTTGTGTAGGATTATGTACTTATTGAAAAGATTAAGATTTCTAAGTGTTATACTTTGTTTACTAATATGTAAACTATTTAAAATATGATATAATATAAAGGAACAGATATGTGCATGTGTCTGCGGTTCCGACTGGAATATTCGACTGGAATATATATATTCATGACAGATATTAACAAACACTTAGAGCTTATCGTTTTACTATGAAAGACCAGTAGGGAACGTTTGAACTTCATGAATTGCCGATTCATCTTCGTGAATTCACGATTTCAACTTTATGAGTTCAAAAATTCACGATTTCAACTTTTCGACTTCTCGTTTTCAACTTCCTGAATTCACGATTTCAACTTTTTGACATCTCGTTTTCAACTTCCTGAATTCACGATTTCAACTTTTTGACTTCTCGTTTTCAACTTCCTGAATTCACGATTTCAACTTCGTGACTTTGCGATGTCAACGTAATAAACTCAACTTGGTTAATTCACAATTTTGCAGTGACTCCACTTATTTTCTTTGCTGTTTTGTGACATGCTGGGACTGGAATTTTTAGTTTGGTTTTGGTCTATGCAAATACTAGTGTGTAAATTTCAGATCATACGCTCATTCCAGGATAATTATTTTCATTGTGAAACATTGTCTAAAACATTAAAAGCGTTTAAACGCTTTTAACTTTAGATCGGGTATATTTTGTATAATATTGTATATCGTACCGTTTACGTTCCCCTGTTGATCTATGTAAGAATTTCTAATTTGAATTTCAACTTCTTCTAAACATATCGATAAACCTGTTTTCATTAATTATCTACTTCTATAAACAAACCTTATCACTATTTTTGTATTATAGATTTCCCATATGCCAATGGCAGTCCGTCTTATAGTTTGTATACCATGTGACTAAAACTTTTGTAATGAGGCATTGGTAACAGTATTTTTTCAAAGTTCAAATCTGAAAAATAAAAACCTATAGAAACAGTGTCCTAATGATTATCATTATTTATAGTTTATGATTATTCTTTAACTCCTTAAGAAGCAGTATTTTCCTCGGGATGATGAAATTTTACTGCAATCATAAACCTATGTGTTATTGATTTTATTACCCCAAACAAATACTTCATTGGGACGCTGTTTCTATACATTTTGTAAGAGTGGTTTTTAATAATTGTTATTTTTATAAAGATTAACTACTTCCCTTACACTACTAATGCAGTTTGATGAAACTAAATAGGATTGATTGGCGCCTCATATTCTTGTACACATTAAACAGGTTTTCTGGCTGAATTAATTGTGCATGAATTATTGATTGATTGATTCATTCATTGATTGATTGATTTTCTTCCGGGCGGTAAAGGATAACCTACCAAAGTGCAAGCACTTATTTCCAGTAGGGTCCATACCTCACCAGACTCTAGAGACAGCTATTAGATACAAGGGAGTCCGGGAACCAGTCCCTAGCTCTTATTGAAAAGACCCCTTGGTTCTTTTACATGTCCAGTGTATATCACTCATACATGCGAGGATTACCTGGGTTTCTTACCAGTAAACCACTAGGAAGGTGGGGAACACTGAAAGTGTATCTGAAAAATCCCAAGGATGTTATCCAGGAACGAACCCGGAACCATAGGAGTGACAGTCAGTGGTCTAACCAACTGAGCTATCGCGCCACCTATTATGGTCCTTGAATTAAATATGCGTTTTGAGCAGTGAATATTTTTTGTGTCATCTGCTTCATAGTAGCTGCTACATGCTACAAAGTAGCCACAGCTTATCGTGATCACGTCTCCGTCGTCTGTCTTTCATTCCGTTCGTCTGTCTGTCTGTCCTTCACATTTTTTTAACTATTACAGTAATTATCAGGGCAAAATTTAGCTAAGACAATGGTCAGCATTTCTCAGTTAAATGAGTCTTGTCAGAGCTATGGCCCTTTATTGTTGATTTTTTAAGTTTGCAACGTACCTTATACTACTTATGCAATTTGAATGTAATTTTACAAGCTTGACCGGTACGTTAAGTACATATTTCACATGTATTTTTCGATTAAATTATTATTTGCTGAGTTATGGCCCTCGAATAAATAAGCGTTTTGTCCTTTTAATGATTTTCTGTCGCCTGGTGGAACAAACTGTCCAATTATCCTATCCCTCAATATAACCGTTTAAATGGCTATCATCAGGTGACAAGTTATCACTGGTTGCTTGTATGTTTTGCAGACTTAACCTAAAATATAATAGTATGTGATTCATAAATCTGATGAATCCGTAGACAAGTGGCTTAGATTGCTAGTGTCATATTAAGTTTTTCTCAGTTTTTGGTGATAATGCACTAAAATATTCGAACTTTTATTACTTGAAGCAAACGGGCACTTATATAAGTAACTGATTCTCTGAAATTGTATACACTTATTCAATTTGAAGGATCATTTTATTTTCTCGATTTTACAACAAATATAAGATTTTGATTTTACGTAATGACTGCCTACTTGTATTAAGGACATCTTTTGTCGTTTACTATTTCTTTACAAAAGGGAAATTGTTTACGTAGACAGAGATAATCCCAACACTTAAAAGACAAGTCACTTATCATTTGTAATAAAAACCACAAGAAAAAACAACAACGCTAAGGGAAAAGAAAACGATACATAAAAACAACATCAAAAACCCACACAAAGCAATCCCAAACTATATGTTTTTGTTTTACGTGACAGTTTTAAACATTTGCTGTTTAACGTTTTTTACAAAATATAGAAAAAAAAGAATCCCCAAAGAACGTTTACAATGGATAAATTGAGAAATTTACAGGCTCTTGTTCATCAAGCTAGGTTATGGACGGTACTGGACTGCAACCTATCGCCTACGCCCACATCCCTCCTGTATCGGCTTGAGCAGAATTAAACAGTTATCGTTTGGTAATGGTTTGATTTTTGAATTCAGAAACGTCCACAGATGTAGTCATTGTGCCCCTAAGCTACTCTCTTTATGGAACTTTACATGTGAGACGATAGTTACATTCTATAAAAAGCGTCGATTGGACCTTAGTAAAACAAACATGTGCCCTAGAGGTGAAAACAATTACGAAACTGAATAAAATGGAATTTGAAATGGGGTCATAGGTTATGAAACCTACATATTACAAAAGGCAAATTCAAAAACAAACAACATAACTTTGGACTCGTTTTTTCGTGAATGAATAAAATCAGTAAAAAGGTACTAAAATGACATTGTTTTATCACGAATACACTACGTTTTTCATTAGTTTCTACTATGGCATGCAATACTTACAAACGCGCAATATTCCTAGATACAAAGAAGAACGCGCAGAGCATTTAACCTAAATAACAGATATCAATGTAAAAATATCAATGTAGCTGTTCGTCAGGTTTACTATTTATTTCCTGCTATTTCTAATGTTTTATTCGTGATGAACATATGAGATTTGTTAAGCCAAAATTAGTTCAAACATTTTTTTACATTGTGCAATTAAGCTGAGCTCCCACTGCCGATCAGATCAACTCGATCAAGCCCGATCAAGCGATCGGGTACTGGTCTGGGTCGGTCGGCATGATTGATCGGGAGTGGTCGGGGAGGTCTACCTTGGTCGGCATCGCTCGGGCATTCTACCCGAATTTTTTTGACATGTCAAAAAAAATCGTGTAGCGATCGTGTAGCCAAACGGTCGAGAAGAGCTCGGGAAGCGATCGTGTATTGATCGAGTTGAAGATCGAGTTGATCGAGAAACAATCGTGTAGCGATCTTGTTTGGTCGGATTGGCATCTTTAACCCGATCTGTACCCGATCATCTCGACTTCTACTCGAGTAATATACGATCGCATCCCGATTAAGTAGATCTCTGTTCGATCTCTTGTCCAGATTATCTAGACTGCTACCCGACTACTCCACGACCACACACGACCGCACACGATCAAACCCCGATCACTGTTCGACCATACACGAGCAGGTCCGACTAGTGGCGATTTTAGTCACCCACCTCTGTTTCAAGTGAGGCAGTTGCCGGCTACTGGCAAGGAGTTGGCGTGATATGATTGAAATACTTTGAAAAAGGGCATAAAATCAAGAAACAAACAATCAACTCTATTGTATATACATGTATACTTGAAGCTAATTTCCTCCATTAACAAACATATCATGGAAACTATCATATCCAAATAGAAGATGACTTACTATACTTAAACATATCGGAAATCACTTTAATAACTACTTAACTTGTGCATAATCGCATCATATAGGTTATACACGCCAAGCGTCATTAAAATATCTCTCCAAAGTAACTAACACACTAAATCATATTCTGTTGCCACTCAACTGAACCAGCTCGGGAGTTGAAGTAGTGTTTAAGGTAGTTCCTCTGACTGACCCCAGCGGATGTCACCACATTTCTTCCATGGGTCCGATCACCATCAGCCAACTGTCTTCCTTGGCGCCATTCACCAGGTACTTAATGGTTATGCTCGTCCTCTTGGTCGACGGCCAGTCTTGCAATGGCAGGGTACCGTATGCTGATAAGGTTATGCAGTGTGACACATGCAAGGATAATCAAGTCAACGGTTTCGGGCATCTGGTTCAAGCAGCCAAGTAGGCACTGAAACCGCATAGCGAGAAGACCGAAGGCATTTTCTACCACTCGTCTAGCCCTGGACAACCTAAAATGAAAGGATGGTGATGGTTTATAAGAACAAATTTCTGATTAAATGCATAGCTATTTTGCCAATAGTAATTCAAAAGATTGTCTAACCTGTAATTGAATATGCGCTCCTCGTTGGTCAAGTTGCGTCTGGAGTATGGCTTCATCATCCAAGTTCTCAACGGGAAAGCGTCATCTCCAATGAGGAAGTATGGGGTGTTCATGTCATCGCCAGGCAGTGGATCAGGGTCCGGCAAACCAAGGTTGTTTTCTTCTAGCATGGTTCTGAGTTCAGTGTTATTGAATAGCTGGGCATCGGATGCACTGCCATTAGCACCAACGCTTACCCAGATGAATTTGTAGTTTGCGTCTACGAGTGCGAGTAGTATTATGGAAAAGAAGCCTTTATAGTTATAGAACAGAGACCCAGAGTTCTTCGGGTTCTTTATCCTCACGTGCTTACCATCAAGAGCCCCGCAGACATGAGGAAAATTCCACTTGGTTCGGAAGTCATCTGCAATCTGCTGCCATTGTTCAGCAGTGACGACGGCTGGCAGCACCTCTTCAGAGTACTCCTGTATTATAGCATCCAAAACTTCAGGGACGAATTTACTTATTGTGTTACTTCCCACTCGGAATGAGTACATCAAGTCTGAATACGAGGCTCCAGTTGCGAGATGACGAAGAGTGACCGCCAACTTCAATCCAGGCTCCAGGGCTTCCCTGAAATAGAGATTGAACAATGATAAGTAATAACTAGCCTACTATGATACAACGGTATTAAAATTTCTTAAATATTAGTGACAATTGCACAGAGCTGTAGAAGTCAAATGGTTGGAAAAGTAATTCGATGACTAATTATTTCAGAAATACGTGAAAATGATGGGGATCGAACCCATGATTTACCTGAAGTTGGTGTTCTTTTTCTGAATTCTGGGTGATATGCGATCAACAAGCTCCCCAAACATATCAGCGTCTACCCTTAGGAAATTTTTGTATCCTTTTGGGTCCTCCCTGTTTAGCTCCTGTAGCAGTTGCTCATAATGCCCATACAGTGGTCGTCGTGCAAGCCACTGCTTCATCCATATTTTCCTGCGCATTTGTCGCCTACGTCTATGCCTACGACCCTCAGCCTCTTCCTCTTGTTCCAACTCTAGCACAGCAATGGCCCTGTCTCTCTGGAGCTCTAACCATCTGGCCCACAACTGCAACTGCTCAATCTCCATAAATATTTATACTATGCTGGACACAACATATACTATGAAGTTTCAAGATGAAGTGATAAAGATCAACACTTTTTGAAGTTTTTATTCTAAAGGTTTTGGAACACGACTGTTCACGACCTTCTACGACTCGAGTACGACCATGACGATCTGGTCGGGGAAAGATCTGACACCGATCGAGCAGAGATCGAGTAGGTCGAGTTGAGATCGTGTAGGGATCGTGTAAAGGTCGGGATGATTGAGCGGAAATCGGAAAGGTGGTCGGGTTGACGTCGTGAAGGAGTCGTAAATAATCGTGTCGGAATCGTGTGTGATCGACAAGAGGTCGAGAAGAAGTCGTGTATACGCCTTTAGTCGAGCTTGGTCGGGCCTGATCGGGGAATTTGGGTGATCGGGATGATCGAGTTGATCTGATCGGCAGTGGGAACCCAGCTTAACGATTTCAACGAGAAGACTTTCAAACAAATTCACATGGACGTAAGGATCGATATTTGTGAGGAATAAATAATCAATAATGCATAATTTCTCGATTTTCCTTGTTTATTTTATTTATTAAACCACGTTTTCTCTAAACCGGAAATACATAAAACAAGTCTAACACCACTAAAAATAATACTTCTTCCAAAAGAAGCTTATTCGATTAGAAACTATAGTTAACTCTTTTGGACATACCCCCACACATTGATCGGTCTACCGATCAATAACGATAATAACTAAATTTTAACGATCAATTATCATTCTATCTGACAATTATATAATAACGATAAGTACCTAAAAATGTACTCGAATTTTTACGATATTTTTACTAGACTGATACTTCACAATAAATTGTATTTTTCTCATAATCGAAAAACGCCATGTGAAAACAAACAAAAAATACAAATGTACATGTTCCTATGCCTTTCCTATCAAAAATCAAAACAACCTTTTAACTTTAAAAATGTTACCTCATTCAATTTTCATCAATTATT